ACACACACACACACACACACACAAAACATATTTGTTTCCTTCTTGAAATCCTTGCTTTAATATTTTATTATCTAAAGCGTTGACACCGAGACGTTTCTAAGTGCATCTGAGGCCCCAAAAACGTTTTGTCCAAAGGTTTTTGACACTATATAAAGGCAAAACCATATTATTGTTTGAATTAACCCAGAATAGTGTGTATATGCAATGATGAATATGGTAACCAAAGCATTGCATTATTATCTATCACTCTTCTTTTTTGTAACAGAGATTCAGACAAAATAAGAAAATAACAAAGGAGCACAACCCGTTTTAGAGACCAAACATCCTACTGACACAGGAAGAGCTCTTGCTTTCGCACCTAGAATATAAGCATATGATTTATGTTTAAGTTATGTTGTTGTAACGTTTCTAAGTGCATCTGAGGCCCCAAAAACTTTTTGTCCAAAGGTTTTTGACACTATATAAAGGCAAAACCATATTATTGTTTGAATTAACCCAGAATAGTGTGTTTATGCAATGATGAATATGGTAACCAAAGCATTGCATTATTATCTATCACTCTTCTTTTTTGTAACAGAGATTCAGACAAAATAAGAAAATAACAAAGGAGCACAACCCGTTTTAGAGACCAAACATCCTACTGACACAGGAAGAGCTCTTGCTTTCGCACCTAGAATATAAGCATATGATTTATGTTTAAGTTATGTTGTTGTCAGCCTTTATTATACAATCATTTTCTCTCTGGAGTCTGTCGCCCGCTGGATAGTGTGTTTCCTATGTAAACCTGCTTAAACAGGCAAAGCGTGTCAGCTTTCCAGAGGACCAGCGACGGCTGGGTTGTGAACAGGCGTGTAGCCGCGGGTCGGTTTGATTGTGCTCCAGGTTTTGGAGAGGTATGTTTAGGCTGGCACTCCATTTGTCATATCGCCTCTTCTGAAATATCAGTTTGTCTGTCCGGTCGCAGATGACAGTCATAAACCATATCTTTTTTGAAAGCCATAAGCCTTGTTTTGTGAATACTTTCTGGAATACACTTTTTTTCCTGGAAGAATCTCAGCCTAAATGACTTTTCCAGCGCTGGAGTGCTGTTTCAGTTGTCTCGTACCTCTACTGTACCTAATTTTACTGGGAAAATGATTTTGGAGTTAGTATGTGTTAGGGCTGCACAATTAATCGAATTTCTAATCGCGATTACAATTATGGATGCCACAATTACGTAATCGTTCAAAGCGCCAATTAATCGTTCAAAGTCCACTTATGTTATTCTGTGTGCTTAAGATGGGTTTTTTTCTTTTTGCATGTTATGTTAAGGGTTTTTCCCATTATTTTAATTTTAGTTTTAGTATAACATTATAATGGCATTCATATTTGTACTTTTTTATAATTTAAAGAAGAAATCAATCCGATGTTTAGTTGACATTTGAGGCTTAATACTATAGAAAAGCACTAAAGGTTTTTCAGTTAGAGTGTTTTCAGCTTCTTTATTTTCATATAAAAATACGGCATGCAGTTGCATCAAACAATGGTATAAAGATCATTCAATGTAAATTGTGATAATCGTAATTAATAATCGCAATTACAATTTCAAGGGAATAATCGACAATTATGATTTTTGTCATAATCGTGCAGCCCTAGGATGTGTGTATTTGCATTACTGTAATGTAGACAAAATAATGGTATATTACTTAAATGGTTACATTTTTATAATTAATGGCAGTACTTTTATACTTCCTTAGAATTCATGTTGATTTTTTAAAATAAAAATGATTGTATTTCAGTTTTTTTTTTTGGAGAATAATAAAAAATAATGTGAAAACCTGCTCTGAAGTAAAACATCTGGATGCGTTAATGACAATTGTTGGGGAAAAATAAAATTCCTTTATTTAAGCAAAATATAATTTATTACTTTTGATTATTTGATTTGATCTCTTTGTATTTAATTTGTATTTAATGATATTACATTTATTGTAATTTATTATCATTTATAATTATAACATTTACATATAATTTCAATAATGTAATTTATTAATTATTACTTTAGAAATTAAAAAAAATAATAATGTACGTACTTTTGAAATTATTTCTCACTTTTAATTTTATTTTTCTCTCTCTTTTTTTTTCTAAAAAATGTGATTGGGCTTCAGTTTATTTTAAGCAAAATGCTTAATATTTATTTATAATTTTAGAAATATAATTTGTTTATATTTATATATATATATTCGCACAGACTTCCAACTGTTCCTGTATGAAAGAAGCTGTTGTGCCAGTAGAGGAGCTCGCCAGTTGAGTCCTCTGGGCCCTTTAGAGTTTGATGAGCATAAGACCACCGTTGCAACAGCTACCGCGACGAAAAAACCTCCCCATGATCCCCTGCTCAGAGCACAGAGGCAGCCAGGAGTCAGCGGAAACTGTAACATATCTTTTACTGTATAAATGAGAAAATGGATGGGAGAGACAAAACAACTGAGAGAGCAGAGTGTTATTTAGAGACATCCTGGATCGTCTTGTAATGAATGAGAGCTGCTTTGTCTAAACAATAATAATAATTGTTATTTTTTGGTAACACTTTAGTTTAGGGACCAATTCTCACTATTAAGTAGTTGCTTGTTAGCATGCCCATTCCCATTTCCACTCATTTTCAAATTCCAGAAGTCCTTGCATATTTTATATGCTTCAAAATATTTTGTAAATATATCTGTAGGTAAATATTGCCGTTTATTATTGTTATTATTATTATTAGGCATTAATATATTAGTGCATATACAGTAAATGAAATTAAATGTAATTTTTAATGCATTATTTTTTATATATTATATATATTATTGTATATTGTTCTCATTTAGTGGAAAAAAAGCAGGCTTTATTTATTTATTTTATTTACATATATTCTGAATCCAGTTAGCAACAGTGGCCACTTTCAAATTTTTATTTAAATAACTTTAATTTAAATAAGGTTGTGTAAGATTTACTTATTTTTTTTCGTTATCTGCGTTTTTTAGACCATATAATTTATATATATATATATATATATATTATATATATTATTGTATATTGTTCTCATTTAGTGGAAAAAAAGCAGGCTTTATTTATTTATTTTATTTACATATATTCTGAATCCAGTTAGCAACAGTGGCCACTTTCAAATTTTTATTTAAATAACTTTAATTTAAATAAGGTTGTGTAAGATTTACTTATTTTTTTTCGTTATCTGCCTTTTTTAGACCATATAATTTATATATATATATATATACACACACACACACACACACACACACACATATACTTTTAATGACTTATTTTGTAAGATGGACTCTTACAATTTTAAGCACAAGTACAATTAAATAATCTTTTATAGATTCAATGTAAAATATTGTCTTTTGTGTCTTAGTTAAATTTTATAAAATGTTTTATTATATATTATATTATATTATATACTGAATGTTGAAGGGAGAGCCATTTGATATCTGTACCCTTTAGATTCATGAGCTACAGGTTTGATTTTATTTCAAATACGGTAACTGAACAACCACACATCAACAACATAGAAAGGCAAAAATCAGGACAAAATGAATGAAGATAATGCATGTTACTGATAATGCTCCATATTTTAAGGCTGAACTTTAGTCAAAGCTCATGCCAAAGTCAGAGTAGAAAAATCTGTTATTCATACTCCCATAAAGTCATATACTGCGGATGGTAAGGTTCTGGATTCGTGCAAAAACATGAAAAGTCGTTTTTTGTCATAGGTCCCAAGTAACAGAACAGCAAAAACAGAACATGGGCTAACATGCATAGATATCTCTCAGCGATCTCTCACTGAACTCTGCATCATGCAGTTTATCGTTCATAAAAAAAACAATAACATCCACAGAGAAATGTGAAAAAGATATTTTGAAAGCAAACAGAAAGATATTTAAACATTAAATCCAAATGTACCTGATGCTAGCACATAAAAAAAATGTTATCAAAATTGAAAACCAGTTCATTTGACACACACATAAAATAAAAAAAAGCAAGATATAAGTTGTATAAGCACAGCTTACAAATGAGAGTAAAAATATTCTTACAAAATATCTTAGCATGTAGAAAAATATAAGGTACCATATGAGGGAATAGCAGTTACTGTACACCACAATTGAAAAGCTTGCTTAAAAATACCGCAGACCCAGATTGAACATTTAACCCTATGTTCTTTGTTAAAAAATAACCATCCAGTTTTTCATGAATTCTTTCTGTTGGTGTCATCCTAAAAAGTATTTGCAAGTGCTATAGGGTGTTTTAGATAGTAAGCTTAAAAAATATAAACACACTGCAGTCATGAGTCATTCTTGTGTTCATTTTAGCCACAGAAAACATATTTTTGTTGGTTGCATTGAACTTCCTGCAACTGTATAGTCAAGGCAAACTCTGAGGAATGAGTAATTAAGGTAATAACCATTAATCGGACTCGTAGGTTGCTTTAAACTGGCATCTTTAAAGCATTACATTGTTAAATAATATTTGATGGTAAAAGTTTGTAGGTTGCAACTGCTGTATGTATGTGTATACTGTATATATAAATAATGTATGGCAATTCTTTTTCAGAAAATGCCAGGGAGCACTATAGTAATGGCATAGTTATGCTATTGAAACTTTGTACAGAAAAGCATGTGAGATTTTCAAGGCATAAAAAGAATCATTTAAGTGCTGATTTTTAATGCAAATTTTAACAATAAGTTCAAAACTGATTGAAACATTGTCATTTTTTTCCCTGTGTATTTCCTATTTCATCAGGAAGTTCAGCAAGGACTGAATTTTAACAGCAATAGTTTGAATACTCCCCAGTGTACAAGATCTATCCCAGAGGAGAAAGGTTGTATAACTGTACTTATTTTCTGAACTTTTAGAACTATAATATCATATAAAGAGCATGAACGCCAACATGCACAGACTAAAAGGCAAAAAAACAAACAAAAAAAACACATAATATGGGGTCTTTATCTGGCCTGAAAAAAAAAATGCATTACCGATTGTGGGTACTTTATGAGAAAAGGAAAAACTAGTGCTAAGCTTCAACATCACTCTGGATTTGCAAGAAATATCATTTTAAGCTTAAAAAGCATGATGCAAGGTGAAGTACTGCTGAATGTGAATCAAATGACATGTCTTAGAACCCAGACAGAGAATTTCCTTCATGCCATCGTTTACAAGGTATTGAATATACTGATACAGCCTGAGAGAAAATTAATATTGGAATCATTCATCCTGTACCTTTAAAGTACCTTTGGTTCATTCTTTACACCTATGAAAACAGTGCTAAATACAACCTTTCAGACACAAAAACCTGCTGATCACACAATTACGATAGTATTGGAAAATCTCTCTTTGGACGTGGAGTGATGCATATGTAAAACCGAGAGCATACAAGATGAGCTTATTGCATTAAATTCATTTACTCTTCCTTTTTAATACTGTACACAAGTCACGGCGTCGTTTCCGATTCCTGGTCTTCAAAGAGTTAACGAGAACCACAATCCAACAAAATATTAAATCCTATAAGCAGCTCGTCCATTTAAAAATAAAAAAATCCATCCAATTCCTATATAATGTTTAACGAAAGAAAAACTGTACGTTTATATTCTCAAAAATGGACGCACCAATGTGATCAAAGATCTACTTGACAGTCTGAGGTGGCATAATGGCCGTCTTTGGAGTGGTTTTGCCTTCCGTCTCCAGTATTCCCTCCTTTCCTTTCTTCCTCGGTGGTTTTTTGATGGGCGTTTTCTTTGGGGTGGCGTCTCCTTCAACTCTGGTCCCATTAACCCCTAGCTTTTCTGGGCTTTTAGGTTCAGGCGTAGAGTCTGAAATTGGAGCCACCATCTTTTGTAGGTTGCTGGAGGTGGGAAGAAGGGGCTTGTTGGTTCCAGTTGCAGAGCGTTTGGTCTTTTGAGGTGGGGTGGGTTTCTCTCGGTTGGCTTGAGGTGTTGACACACCATTGGGCTTGATGCCCACCATGAGACTCTCGTTCCGGTTAAGGCTTTGGGTTTTTTCCTTCAGCTGAGCCGCGAGTAGCGTGGCGGCCTCAGAGTTCATGTGCGGATGCATGATCTTTGGGCTCTTGGGTGGATCTTTGTTGGTGTCATTTGTTTTCTTGTCTGAGTGGAAGTTTCCGATCTTCTTCAGGGCGTTCTGGAATGTTCCATTGAGGTGCTCAATGGTATCTGAAGCTTTGTGAGATTTGCTTTTGCTTGGTGATTCGGGTCCATCTGCTTTCTTACCGCCCTGATGCTTTTCACGGTTCTTGCTCGACTTCTCCTTTGACCGCTGCTTCTCATCAACCTTTCCAGAACTTTCTGAATTGTTCTTCCTCTTCTCTTTTTGTGGTGATGGAGTCTGGCTTTGCTCTGTTGGGTTGGTTCCAGATGTTCCGTGGATCCAGGACAACTTCGGTTTGGTAGAAGGGTCTGGAGGACGAGGTTTCGTCCTCTCTTTTGTCTTCTCCGGTGAGGCGTTATCCTCCTCCTCTTTGGAGTGTTTGGAAAGGCGGGCGACATGGGCGTAAACAGCTCCTATGGTTGACTCAGAACCACTGGTGGAGCCCTCGCTGTCTGAAGACTTCAGGAGAGGCTGCTCGCTCCCATCGCTAATGTACTGCTTTGTAGTTTCTCTTGTGTCTTTGAGGGATGTGTACTCTCCTGCGTCCTCATCATTGGGGGTCGGTGGTATTTCTTGAGCAGCGCTAGAATTTCGCTTGTCATAGCTCTCATTCGTAGTCTCTGAAAAATGCAAGCGAGTAAACGGAAAGGGTAAGTAGAAGAGAAAGATATTTTTGACTAATAAAGTCTTAGTTCTACTTATTAAACATCTCAAAAACCTTCATAAAATCAAAAGAAAAACTGTCTGGCCATTTCCTGTGTGATGAATTAACTAGCAAGAATATCAGCTGCACTTTTTAACACGTCTTTGTTTATATTTGTAATTTAAATGGTTTTGTTCTAAATTCCAGTCTTTGTGCATTATGTATTTTTCATGTAACATTGATACACCAGTAGGTGCCAATAAGTCTTTTTGTGTGAGTCACTCAGTGAGTCGTTTATTGAACTGATTGATTCAAAAACATTGATTAAATCATGAACAGAACAAGTGACTGTCTATATGAGTGAGTCAGTGAATCATTCACACAACTGATTTGTTGAAAAACACCGATTCAATCTGGAAACAAACAGGCGATCTATTATGGGTGATTATTAAAACAATCATTCAACAACTTATTAAAAAACACTGATTCATTTAGAAACAAATCAATTATTCTGCCGAACCAATTAATTTAGTTATACCACTATTCTGTGTTCTGCTGACTTTATTTTGATTTATGTTTTTTTTTGGCAAAGCAAAAAATACACAAAATACATGGAGATATTGTTTCTAAAATGCAAATTACAAATAAACAGCTCATTAATTCTGTTTTACTTATAAAATTAAATCTTTTTTTTCTAGAATTAAACTATGCAATAATGCCTTTTTTGGGTACTTTTTGCCCTTATATTTTTGTTTTCAGGGAAATTTTAGTCACTTTTGGTGCAGTATTAGTTTAGTATCATTTACATACTATTATAGTATTTATTCATATTTTGAATTAGCTTTTATTTTCAGTTTCAGTTTAATTTTAATAAATGTATCTGCTTTTATCATATTATTAATTTTTTATATATCTATTTATCTTTAATGTATTTTCATGTCAGTTTTTTTGTAATCTTAGTACTTTAGCACATTTTATGTCAATCCGTTACCACATTTCTGGCAACATTTCCACTGTTATATGTGTGTGTGTGTGTGTGTGTATGTGTGTGTGTCTGTGTGTATAGATAGATAGATAGATAGATAGATAGCTTAATGTGTCAATTAACACAAACATTTTGAAGTTTTAGTACAACACTGTTTTGTTAGTATTTTAAACCTAATTTCCTGGTTATTTCTGAACATAGTTTTTTTTTTTTTTTGCAGTAACAGTATACAGTATATTTTGTGCATTATTCAGTAAATCTTAAGCTAGTAACCTTTCACTGTACTGAAAAGCTTTTAAAAACAACTAACCAAGCAAGAATTCTAGATTATTACAGAAACAGAACAAAATAAGGACCCCTAAAGAATATTGTATGCTTTATGAAACAATTTTCCTTATAATGCTTTTATATCAGTTCTCCAGCAATCTCCCACACAACAGTTTAAGCGGAAAGTTCTGAGTCACATCCTGAAAGTGCTGCATCTGCTGACTTGGCCATTTATAGCATTTACTGTTTGTGTTATCTCAATGCACGTGATATACAGAGGGCAACCATTTACCACAGAATGGGGTCATTTAATAAAATTGTCTGGAGATTTCTTAACTCCCTCATCTCTTTTCCATGTTGCACAAACAGATGGCTTATCTGCACTAGTTCCCGCTCACCTTCGTGGGGTACGCAGTAGACGGGCCCGTCTTCGCTCGTCTCGAAGGAAGAGAAGGACTCCTGGGATGACCATGATGGAGAAGGCTGGTCCACCACGGAGGGCGGCTCGATAATACTGTTGAAGGTGTTCTCAGGATCGTGGTGGGTGACTAAGGGTTTGGACAAGGGGAAAACAAACAGAGAGGTCAGGTCAGATCAGTTGAAGAAGGCTCCCTGGGTTCCACAACACACAAAGGCTCTTTGACAACATATGTGATGATGTTAGGATCTACAGTCTGCATTAGTGACCGACAAGGGCAAATAGTGGAGCGTGGATAATCGGTATGAAAGCCAGCATTGACAGCACATGAGAGAAATGCTACACTTCAAAGCACGCTAGTGGAATGATCAGAGATCATCTGAAGAGCTAGGAATTTACGGGGGTAAATTAGATTACGGTTAGGGTTAGTACTGCTGGTTTGGTGTTGATGGACCAACATAACCATGTTGTTTAGAAGCAAAAAATCAAGCACACACTGGTTTTGTGTGGATTAAACTGAGTGTAACTCAAATCTTAAACAAATTTAAAAAAACAATTTTTTTGCAATAATTTCCAAATTCTTCCATTTCCAAAGAACAAAACTGTACATTATTTACAGTGCAATACATTAGGTAAATTAATATTTTATCAAATTCAGTACAACTTAAATGCAGATTAACACAAGTATTTATTGTAAATAGTAATAAATTACCTTTACGTTTTAATTTCTGCTTTATTTTTATCATTTAAAAAAATATATAACATAATATTATATATATATATATATGTATATATATATATAAATTACATTATATACAGTGTCGGGAAGGTTACTTTGGAAATGTAATAGGTTACAGATTACAAGTTACCCCATTTAAAATGTAGTAAGTAGTGTAACTATTTCCTTTTCCTTTAACACCTCTTTTTACTCTGAAATCATTCTGGTGAAATACAGATTTAAAATCATAACAAGATATAGTTTAATATAGCTATGATACCGTTTTTTTTTTATCAAATCTTTGCGTAGTTATAACAGGAAGCACTCACATCTAACAATGCCTTGAAAAAAAAAAAAACGGTTAATTTAAAAAATAAAGCATATACAGAAACCAAAATAGGAAGTAAAACAGTTATCAAATTGCCATGTGTCTTATTCTGTGTCCTAAACTGCTGAAACAGTCAATGCAATTTTGGAAAGAAATCAATCAAATCTGTATGTGTGTAAAAATATTCAGATGTAACACCCCTTTGTAATCTTTCTGTTTCTTTTAACAACGGCTCATCAGGAACTAAAAATGCTGTCTAATCACAAAAGTTTACAAATATACAGTGGTAACTTTTTGCCTGGTTCTCCTGCATGTGACTTTGGTACTAATGAGTAGTTAACGCAGTGGTTTTCAAGAGGCCGCTTCCTTCCGCCCACTTATATGTGATGATGCATTCATGCTGACTTAGAAAAGATGGTCAACTCAGGATTCCTGTGGTCTGCTGCTCACATCTCCTTTCAGGATGAACTAGAGTAGATGCTAACCACACTTTCTTGGCCTGGTTACGCCTTTCTCACACTGCTCTTTTGGCTATTTGGCCATGCGAAGCCTTCCAGGCAAGATCAGAAGATCTCTTTCAAGTCAGCATGCATTTAAAATGGACTTCTTTTGCATTTTCTACATGTTCTGGAGGTCTAATTATGCATGCTTTTTAAACTTAATCGGTCTCTGAAACAACTCTCTTTTTCAGGTGACATCATTAAGCCTCCCCCTCCATCCATCTGTCTCCATTATGGCTCATAACACCCATTTTCCACAATCCAATTAAATCCTGATGGATCAGACATGCTAGTCCATATTCTCGCTTATGTCTAGTTTAATTCTGAAATACATCAGTTGCGTAAGTATTAAAATGATTTTTAAATGTTGTTTCATCATATGGTTTCAATTACTAGTAGCTTTTACATTTAAAACTACCAGCAACAAGATTTACTGTACACAATGAAAGATTGATTTTCAGCACTTGACAAACTATGGGCTGTTTAGTTTAGTTTACTCATAAAGTGAATAACACAATAACTCAAAGACTGAAACAAAGTGAACTTTCATGTTGAGTTTTTGCATATGTGTTTTAGATCTAGAAAGACTCAATCGGCTCGCAAAGGGCTTCTTCCAACGTTCTCCCAGGCTGGAAAAAAGCTTTAAAAGTACATTTGCAAAAATAAACATTTCAACAGCACATAGCAGTGAAAACCACAGAGAAATAAAACTGCATTTTTGGAGTTTTGCCTTCAATGAAACAATTTACATTCCATACTTTATACTTTTTCCAAACAGCTGTAGATGCTGGAAGAACCTTCCTGAAATGTCAAAGGAATATCTCTTCTCTGTGTACCGCTGTTCATGTCACCAGCATTCTGATCATGCAGCTTCATGATGCCCCTGTGGGACTGTGAAATGGCATGATATACATGTTAGGAATACATGCAAACAGACTCAGTGCTGTTACTGAGCGATTTACTGACATCGGAGACTTAGCTGGTCTGGCTGCCCACCCTGTGCTCTACAGGCCTTGAACAAAAGTGCATTACTGGGACGTCCCAGCTGCACAAGTCCCCACAGCTGCAGAAACTACTCTGGTGTAGGGCAGCAGGTGGCCTGTCTCTCTGACGCCTCTCCAGAAACATGTTTATAGACTTGGACTAAGAGAGATGTACATCAAGAGCAAAAAAAGCTGTGCACAGGAACACTGTCCTTGGCTCATTCTTTACAGGGTTTCATTTGTCTTGGTTAAATATGTGAGAACATGAACATAAATTAGGCTAGTATGATATAGAAGTAAAACGTAAATGGACGAATCTCACAAAAATATGCAGTTGCATGTTGCATGTCCCCCCAAAAAAAAAAAAAAAGTAGCATTGTGACATTATTTTCATGAAGTTTAAGCCCCTAGCCAAATTCTTAATATGCAATGCATCCAGATGTTTTACTTTTACTTTTTACCTTTTTTTTTTATTCCCTCTTTCTCAATAGTGATTTTTGGAGAGATAAAACTACAGTATGTGCAGTGTACCATATTATTGTAATTTCAGTTAAATTAGTATTAGTTTATATATGGTTTAATAAATGTGTATAATTTTAGATTGAATAAAATAAAAACAAAAATGTACAAGTATAATGTATATTAGAAATTATTGTATATAAAAATGTTTATAAAAATACACATTAATATATACATTAATATACACTAATATATATTATATTTATTATAATTATATGTTTTATTTTATATAATATAATTTAAATATCTGACAATATGGTAGAGGGAAATTTGTGCTTTATTGTGATGGGCCTAAAATATGCTGTTTATTTTGAGCAAAATATAATTTTTTATTATATTTTGTGTGTGTTCTTGGACGTGTTCTTGACAGGTATTGTGAGAATCATCCAAATACGGCTGTTTGCTTCAAAACAGATTGACTGTAGAAATATTTCTCCTAAACTACTCATCTGAATTATGGAGAGACAGCATGTAGGTCACTAGGAGATGAAGGGGTAAACGTTTTCATTCTTTTTTTTTCTTTCTAAATCTGTCATTACCAGCTGCATGGATGAATAAAAAGGGCTCTAAAAGCACACTGTGGTAAACTTGGTCACTTCCTGTCTGAAGAACCCCCAGCCCCCCGCTCGCTCTCCTATGAGGGTAGAGTTACAAAAAAAAAGTGGGGGAAGAAAAGAAAGGGAAAAATAGCAGACCTCACTGCTGCAGTCGGCCAATGAGGATAGCAGAACCGCTGGCTTGCAACAGGAAAAGGAGGAAGAGGAAAAAGAGGGAACCAGAGAGCGATATTTTCATCCAGCTCCTCCCATTAAGTAAAGAGTTGGAGGGGGTTGGGAAGAGAACGGGGTAAACGTTACATCTGCGATTGCTTGCAGTTCTTCCTCTCATATGTTATCGCAAACCCCAATTGTTTACCAAATTAGAGTGAGCGTGAAAAGAAACATTTTGCATTGATTTTGGCCGTTCCTGAAGTCATTTAACACTTTTTGATTTGTCAGATGAAAGAGACGCTTTACATGCATTCTCACTCAATTTTCTCATAAAGTCTGAGGATGAAAGGGCCGGTTTATGTTCGAGAGCATATCTCTTCAGTTAAAGTGCCATCTTCTTATTGCATTTTACTACTTGCTTATTCTTTGTTGTCTGTCCAGGGTTTTACAGCTTGAGGGGTTTTATTGAAACAATCCAACAGTGACATTATTGTTTTACAGAGGATTTTTCTTTACTCTGTTCTGATGGCAGTGGCTCTTAACTTGTGGTAATGTGGTAAATTAGCGTGGAAGCACGTTTCTCTTGGAGGACAGCATGGCTCTGGGCTTTCTCTCGGTCATTAAATAACTAAATAGTGCTCACCCGTGACCGCCTGTTACCCATACACTGGGGTATTGTGTGTTTGAAATAAAACTGTGCCATCCATGTTCTTCGTAAAATCAGAATTCAATTGATCTTTGATTTTTGTTTGGAGATGATCCAAGTGGCTCTTTTGGAGACTTAGGTCACATTGTGACGGGCTTTTCTCAGAACATATTTTCTTCATTTTTGCTCTAAGCCTTTTAGTCAGCTGGTGTTTTGGTGTTTTATAGTGGATCTATAAAGTCAGTTCTCCTCAAGTTCTTAGCAGACTAACCACAGGTGTAGAGAATCACATTAAGTATGAACATTTTACACATTTAGACATGTTATTGTCAAAACATCTTCCATTTTCAACTGATTATCTATTCTTTTATCATTTAAAACCTAACAAGATTCTTGTTGTCAGATGTTTTGCTTTAAAACTGTGCTTGTGCTGTCTTTCTTTGTCTTTCACATCTTACATTGACAAATATGTTAACTTAAATCTTTTGAGTTTTCTGTATTTTTTATTGTAATGTTTATATAAATATACAATTTTATATGCAATGATATTTCAGACATATTCAAGTGCAAGCTAAATAGAAGTAGTCCACTGAAAATTACATTGTCATCATTTACCCACTCCGCAGCCAAATTATATTTTATCTTTATATTCAGACTGCTTTTTTTTCCCCATAAATCAAAAGCACAAAGTGACCAGGGGCTTTAAATCTCAACTGTAGCTTTCAAATCTCATTCTCATGTGTCTTTTCTTTTTCAAATATGGCACCAATTTGATATCATTAATTTTTATATCAACCAAGTTTATCTGATTGCAATGTGTAAACTTCGTATATGCACAAGTGTAAATGATATTTGAGTACTTGAAATAAATGGTTTGTTCCATACAAATGTAATGTGTGACTTCAGAAGGCTTGAAATAGAAATACATGTGTTCCGGGGAAAATGTTATGGTCCTTTTTTTTTTTTTTTTGAGGAACTTGACCAGTATGAAAAAGAGCAGCTTCTGCATTTTGTTAAAATTGTGAGTTGTTTTCCACAGGTTTGGACCAAGTTGATGGTGAGCAAATGATGACAGAGTTTTTATTTTTGTGTGAGCTTTCCCTTAAAAGTTAATCATTCAGTTGTGGAAAGCATGTGAGTTGGTGTAGTTTTTGACCTCTTTTATTTGTGCATACTAAAGCAAAACAGCTGTAAAACTCCACAGCAAAAGCAACCCACATTTTTCTATATTTAAAAAGTCCAACTCAATTTCTTTACTGTTCGGCGGTGCTAACTCAAGTATGCCATGCCTTTTGCAATTTGCTCTCTGAGACGAATTCAAGTCCAAAATGAATATCACAAACAAAACTGCCTCGAAAATGTATAATATGCTTTCATGGCCACTTTAATATTCTCTCTAAAAACTCTCCTGGCAGCCGCAGCCAATACAGTTCCCCAACCACAAGAACTCCACACAGGGGTTCCATCCTGGCAAAAACAGTCTTCGATTGGGGAACAGTCAGCTCCCAGCCGTCTGTTTTAACAAGAAATAGGGAAATGAGGAAAGAAATGCGGGGAATAAGAAAACAAATATCTGTTTGGGTACAGATTAATAAGGACTCAAACTTCACAGGGAGCCAAGGGAAATAAAACGAGCACCCAAAGCATTCCATTCAGATGAAACCCTAAAGATTTTGTTTGGGTAAACGCGGAGCGCTTTTCAATCCGACTGAAGCTCTTAACCAGTAGCAGCACCAATAAGAATTGCTTTAATTAGGATTCCTTCCAAACAGGTTCCCAAAAACTCCCCTTTCTGCCAATGGTCAGACAAACAAAGGGCCCCGCCCCAAACTCATGCCATTGGTTGAGTCAGAAGTTGATTTGACAGATTAAACACAGCAATGATTTGAAATCACCACAGAGCAGTCAACCTACAAATGATTTGGGTAAAGGGATGTTTCACCCAAACATTAAAACGGTGTCATAATTTACTCATCCTTATAGCATGAACATAAAAAATAATAATAATAAATTGCGAAATGTCCCAGTTAGGGATATGTAATATTTATAGTTTATGACAATATCGTAAATGTTGTTTTAATGATGTACACGCCCTCAAAAACAAAAAATCTAAACAAAAACACATCTTGAGAGTCCAAAAGCATTTACTATGTGATGAAGCATATGTGCAGGTCGCACATGGGCATTGACTTGGTTTTGCACTAATCAGTTGTTCCACAAGGTGGCAACACTGACCCAAGCCATTGTTTCACAGTAGAAATCGAAACTAAAGAGACAGAACAACAACAGATGCCTGCATTGACAAGTACTTGTGTGAGAGGGTTATGAGACAGCGGCAACTTTAGTTTAAAACAGTACAAATACATTTTTATCAGTCATAACTAACATAAAGCAGACATTGGACTAAGATGAAGCTTTCTTGAGCGCATGTCGACCGTCTGCATTCGTGTATGCTATCAAATCAATCAAATCTGTATGTATGTAAAAATATTCAGATGTAACACCCCTTTGTAATCGTTTTGTTTCTTTTAACAACAGCTCATCAGGAACTAAAAATGCTGTCTAATCCCAACAGTTTACAAATATACATTTGTAAAGATGAAGCTTTCTTGAGCGCATGTCGACCGTCTGCATTCGTGTATGCTATCAAATCAACCAAATCTGTGTGTGTAAAAATATTCAGATGTAACACCCCTTTGTAATCTTTTTGTTTCTTTTAACAATGGCTCATCAGGAGCTAAAAATGCTGTCTGATCACAAAAGTTTACAAATATACATTTGTAAAGATGAAGCTTTCTTGAGCGCATGTCAACCGTCTGCATTCGTGTATGCTATCAAATGGAGTATACTTAGGAAGGCTACGCATTTGGCTACATGCATACGCTAGCGTATGTGTAAAAAACTGAAGTATACAGTACTTTGGGCTTGGGAATGCAGTTAGAACGCTTCATTTTGAACAAATTGTTTGAATGAATGATTCAATGAATCACTCATTAAGACAGGGAATTAATTGCTATCACCTACTGGCGGTTTTAGTGTCATATTTATCCATGACAGGCTTAAACCAGCCAAGGTACAAGCACAAGAACACACTTATCAAAAATTTTTTTAAAAAGGTGCCAACAGAACTATCATTCTGTCATCAGACAACCAAAGATATTCAACAGTGGAAAAAGTATGCAGATACTTTTTTTGGCATTATTTCATGCTGTGTTTTTATTACTATCTATATATTTTTTTTAAGCTTGATGCTGGTTGCTATTTACTGCCATTACATGAATAAGCATGAACGGGACATTTCTTAAAATTTCTCCTTATGGCATAGAGCATGAGAACACCACCAGTGTGAATAAATGATGACTTAATTTTCACTTTTGGGTGAAATATCCCTTTAAGGGAGTTCATACATGACACAGACTTGCAGTGTGTCCCGACATTGCATGGCAACTCAATGGTTTTATCAGTGGCCCAATTGTTTTTAAGATGTTTTGAGTTAAAAAAAGTGTTAAATTGTTATAAATGTCACTTGAGGCTTGCATCCTTCAGTTACACTCCCTTTAGCTGAACCAGAATGTATCTTACAGTTGTTTCTGCTATTAAACTAGATTTGAAAAGTTTTACATTCAAAAAATAAAGGTTTACTTAAAAGTTTATTTTGCCAACATGTAAAAATGACACTGTCTGTTTAGGCTGAGGGAGATGTGCATCAAAATACGCTCTAACACAAAAAGCATACTTGCTAAATATGCTGTTTTTGTTAAATCATTGAAGACTAAACATCAGGCAGATCATATTAAGTGCATCTTTCATCTGTTGCATGGATCTGTTTACTCATGACACACTTAACCTAAACCATATGTAATTTTAGATGATGGAAAATGAAGACATACCAACAACTTTGGGTAGTTTCTGTCTCCTCAGAGGGATTCTGGGAAGTTTGGTGCTGATTCGACTGAATCCGCCGCAGAGGATTATTTTGGCCTTCTTGCTGTTGGTGGAGTTTTCCTGGTCAGGGCTAAATGAGGAAGAGTGACGTTAGACCAACATTGCACTGACTAGAAATGGATTGAATATTGTAGATGTGTGCTATTGTAGATCGATTGCCTTCTAGCATAAACTGCATAGAGATTGTAGATATTATGTTCAAATAAGGAAGAAATGGAGGGATTAATTTGCCTCACGGGCAAACTGAGGAAATCTAGGCTCAGTTGGTCTTACGTTCTTTAGTTTTCCAGCCATTTAGAAAAGGTGGAAAGTTTAAGAAAACAGCCAACTGTGATTTCTAGAACACGAGAGTCTTGAGTTTTCCCGACTGACTGCGGAGAACAGAAGAGGCTTTCACTTCAGTGAACTGTGAACAATTCTGATGACAGGCTTTGTTAAAAGATGATTTTTGCCAGGGGTGTAAGAACAGAGTGCGTTTGAGGGAGACACAAGGGCCACGTTCACACTGTCGATGCAGAATATGGCCGTCAGTCTGGTTTTACAGCACCAAATACAGCTGTGTTCACAAACCGTTTGTACAGTTTGAGCAGAACCACTCTAGACTAGTTGTTTAAAGCTGTTATATTATAAAGAAATGAAAGAATCCTGAAAAAATGCATCACCATTTCCACAAATATATTAAGCAGCACAACTCTTTTCAACTTTGCTAACAAGAAATGTTTTTGAGCTAATCATCACATTGTTGATTTCTGAAGAATTATGCGACACTGAAGACTGGAGTAATAATGCTGAAAATTCAGTTTTGCATTACAGGAATAAATTACATTTTGTTATATACTACAATAGAAAATACTTATTTTATATTGAAATAATATTTAACATTTAAAAAAAATTTTTGCTGTATTTTTGATCAAATATATGCAGCCATGGTGAGCAATGGTATTGTGTTTGAGTTTAAACTAGTATATCTGATTATATAATTGGGGAAGGAGAATATCTGACACTCTCAATACTTTAAAAAAAAATTTTATTTATAGGTGAAGTATGTAAGTTCTATCTAAAGTAGTTCTGCCTCAAACTTACATTACTGGTTTAGCCAAATTTTGACATCAAACCACTCAAATAATGAAGGCGTCCTATTTACAAATGATTGGAATTCATTAACATACACGTTTACCTATCAAATCTGAGGTTTACACAGCATTTGCGAATTCTTTCGGAGAGTTGTGAAAGTCCATTTTATGTGCAAATTACTCATATTTGTGAAAGGTTCATGAATGAGGCCTAATGTTTAAACTCACTAAAATCTGTAAATAAACGTCTAATGTTGTCTTGCATATTAAACTGTAATTGGAGAAACCTTTTAATACAGAAGGCTGGGACTTACTAAGAACTGGATTGTGAAACTAGTGTTGATTTGTACTTACTTGCGGTTGTCTTTGTTGCTACAGAGGAAGCAGCAGCACAGCAGAGAGAGAAGAACCACCAGCAGGAATGTCACCAGCGTTCCTGCAGCTATTACTCCCATCCGCTGATTAGGATCTGAGAGAAAGACAGACAGAAAGAGAGTGTCAAGTTTCCAATTTAACTCAAAGCTTCCCTGATGAAAACATAGCTGTAGTAGGAGACCAAGATGCAACTGAGTTGTGCAGAACAACAGGTGAAACCTTCTTTTAAATGCTCAAAGTCTGAGAAGCAACTGAAAATACTGAATTTAGAATAATTTCATGTTGCATTATTGCCCATGGCGTTTCACATTAAACAGTTTGAATTTTGCCTGCTAAGGAAAAATGTACAGAAGTTAACCAATTCCATTCATGCAAAAAGCAGTTTATTTTGACTACAACAAATCTTATGGATTTTTAAAGAGAAATAAACTATTTTAGTCTTTTTAATGCAGTAATGCTGAAGTTTACGCAGCATGAAAGTTAACGATCCTTATAAGTACCCTGCAGAATGCCGCAATTGACCAATCAAAATCAAGAGCCGTGTAGTAATTTCAAATTGATACACAGAATAATTTCATGTTGCATCATTGCAAATGTTAGATTAAACAGGTTTTAAATTTCCTTGAACTTAAAGAACACTCTGCAGAAATGAATTAAATGTCTTACTACACGAGTTCAGGAGTTTAAGAGCTAGCAGTTGTGTGCTGTGAGACGCGGGACGTCTGCCAGTGGCTTCTTTGCATCTGTTGCCAACAGGCATTATCACTGGAGCATAAAGTGTAGCTATTTGGCTCTTCCGTTCATAAACATAGACAATGTTGGGATGCTTAATTTGGCACTGGTGAGAATGAAGAATTTCAGCTGTTGGATTCACCGTAGTCTGGATCGTCCATCGTTATAAGCTCAATAATACATACTGAAATAATTACTGGCCTTGGATGATCCAGACGAAAAATATGGTGCATCCAACATGTTATGTAATTTTTGATATTTTCGCAACTTCAAAAATGTCCAAAAGTAAAGCCGTATAAAATGTGTACTTCAAATTTAAAGGAATAGTTCACCCAAAAATTAACATTTGCAATACATTTACTCAACCTCAGGTCATCCAAGATGTGAATGAGTTTGTTCATCAGTTCTTCAGAACAGATTTGGGGAAATCTAGCATTACATCACTTGCTCACCCATGGATCCTCTGCAGTGAATGGGTGCCGTCAGAATGAGAGTATAAACAGCTGATAAAAACATCATAATAATCCACATCACTCCAGTCTATCAAGCTCAGTGTTATAAGAAACAAATCCATCATTAAGGTGTTTTAACTTTAAACTGTCACTTCTGGCCAAAATATGAGTCCATAATCCATAATAATGTTTCCCTAATGAAAAAGTCCATCCTTTGTTGTCCTCTCACATCAATATTCATCCACGTATTTGTTAACAACTGTTTTGAACGGTTTTTACTTGTAAACGGTGCTTGATCTGTGCATATTTCTCTCCTGATTCAGATTAGACTACTTTTTTATTGGAGAGAAAACAATATTAAGGATAGACGCTTGAAGTTAAAAACATCTTGACAAATTAGTTTCTTACAGAGACACAGTCTTTCTATTCACAAGACATTAATCGATGGACTGGAGTTGTGTGGATTACTGTGATGTTTTTATCAGCTGTTTGGACTCTCATTCTGACGGCACCCATTCACTGCAGAGGATCCATTAGTGAGCAACGACTTTTTTATTGGAGAGAAAACAATATTAAGGATAGACGCTTGAAGTTAAAAACATCTTGGCAAATTAGTTTCTTACAGAGACACAGTCTTTCTATTCACAAGACATTAATCGATGGACTGGAGTTGTGTGGATTACTGTGATGTTTTTATCAGCTGTTTGGACTCTCATTCTGACGGCACCCATTCACTGCAGAGGATCCATTAGTGAGCAAGTGATCAAATGCTAAATTTCTTCAGTCTTTTCTGAAAAAACAAAACAAAAAAAAACTCATCTACATTTTGGATGGCCTGAGGGAGAGTACATTTTTTTTTGTTAAACAGAAATGATTTTCAGCTGAACCCAAATATTCCTCTCATAATATTCCTTGTGCAAACATTTGCTTCTAAAAACCAACTGAAAACAGTTCAAGCATAATAACTGATGACAACCCATTTGACTCTTTGATTTGTGCTGTAGATTCTGTCACAGAAGTGTGGAGCTCAGTCCGGGTGTGGGCACATCCACACATGTCCTGAAAGCACAGCTGTGTTCGAGGAAGGCCTTATTGAGGTCGGCCACGGTGACATCATTACTGCCTTCACTCAGGTCCCTGTGAAACCTCTGCTGACCCACACCTTTCCTCATTACTGTCTCTCTCTCTCTCTTGCTCTCTTCCTGTAGTATTTCTCTCAGCTGTGTGAAACAACCTCGGCTCTCACTAACTCGACGAGCAGGCAAGAACAGAGCCAAAAAACACAGCCGTAAAAATAAGACACCACTCTGGAAACACCATCAGGGCCACCATGTTAAACTGCTGCTGTCTACGGCAGTGACCTACATAGTGAGGACTACGCAGGCATGTTACCAATAGCAACTGTGTTTTTATTTGCCTGCACAACAAGCTTCTCATAGATTTTTGAAGAAAAACGAATGATTTTAACCTCATTCCTTAATCCAGAAATAACTTTAATCCAGTGATATTGAAGATTATGCTGCATTGAAGTTAATGAGCCTTATAAATACACTAGCTTAAAGAGTAGTGAGTGATGAATTGAATTTTGGGTCTGTATCTCACGCAAAGCAATCAAACGGCTTCGACAACTTCGAATAAAGCACACAAATCCTATGTACTGCCAAAAAAAATACAAATATGCTTTTTTATTAGCATTCTAGCTAACAATTTTATTTTCTGGGAAATGTTTTTTATTAGGTTATGAAAGTGTTACTTTTCTTGATTATTCAGATGTTTTGGTAAACAGCACGTTTTTGTAAAAATATATTAACATTGAAAAAATAAGATCAGTTTATAAGGACAATCAGACTTGTTTTCAGAGAATATATCTTGGAAATAAATGTATTTTTCTTACTCCAAAGGCAAATATTTTCTATTGTTTTAAGCATAAACCTAACAAAACTTTTGCTTAACAAGACAAAAAGTACTTGTCAATGGGGTAGGAAAAAATATGGTAACACTTTACTTAAAGACTTTATATAAAATGCATTCCAAAAGTAGTTGTTATGCATTAGTTATGCCTTATAATGCATTGTATGACCGCAACAGTTACAATACATTCTAAAACTTATTTTTTCATTGTTATACTTTTATAAAGTATAATGCATTAAAAACACCTGAAGTACAAACAAACCTTCAAATATTATAATATATTTGTTTGCAATTATTTATGAAAATATATAATGCATTAGAACATACTTGATGTATACCTTTATAATGCATTATATATAAAGGCTTTAGGTAAAGATGTATACTCTGAAAATAAGTATTCTTGTATAGAGATATATTTACATATTTTAATGGAAAGCGACACACCATTAATGGTTTAGAAGCTGATATTGTGAACTACTTTAATGGTACTTTTTTTGTCCTGTATGGAACTTTGTATTTTTTGGGGAAAAAATACCCATTTTGCACACCATTGACAAAAACAGTTTAGCCTGGAAAAATCAGGGTGGCTGTTATACAATGCATAATGTGTATAATAATCATGACGTGATGTCATGCTGCATTTGCTGTATCTAAAATGTTCCACCTTTAGTAACCGACGTGCTCGCAAATCCGTTGAGAGTCAAAAGGTTGAATCTTAAGTTGACCTTGGTGTCAACTGGGCAGCTGTTCCCCCCCCTCCCTTTAACGTAATGGAAAATATGACTGATGCTGGACCCCACAAATATGTCTCCCCTTACGAAAAAGAAGTTTATTCAAGTGTGCTATTAGTATACTTCTTTTAAACTATAAAATAGGAAAGTATACTTTTAGTCTACTTTTTATGTACTTCTCAGAAATGGGCTTTATGTACTTCTCAGAAATATACTTAAAATGACATTTAAGTATACTTGACTTATACTTAGAAAAAGTCTAAATATATTTCAATTTAGTCCCAAGGAGTATTGAAATAGTACACTTACAAGTATACTACTAGTACACTGATATTTGTATACTTGCTACATAAAGTATACTTTAAAATATACTTGAACTTTACTTAAGTATACTTAATAAAATAAACTTGAAGTATACTACTTTTTGGTAAGGGTCAACACTTTAGGAGTTCTTCTGTGTCTCCATAGCAAATGACATCACAGAAAGCTCAGAAATTACATTTGCTTTTCCCAAAGAGAGGCAGGAAGGGTTTCTTACATAAGTTGCAGGCTCCTGACACTGGGTTGCAGTTCTTGTCGTGACATGGACAGACCTGGGCACAGTTCACTCCAAACTGACCCAACTCACAGGTCAGGTTGCAGCTAAAATGAAGAGGAATACAAAGAGCACATAAACAACACTGATGAATCAAAAATCAATGCAAGCATTGTGTGCACGTAGCAACAGGAGTTTCCAGTGAAAATGGAACAAGGCAGCTTGCTTGGGGAATTAAAGGCAATTGTGTTGATATTGGAAATGCAATTTCCAATTTTAGAATTTAGCATTTGCAATGAATGAAACAAGAACATATATTCTCATTTAAAGACTCTGAACTGAAACTGACAAAACATTTTAAAGTGTCTTTCTGAGAAAACAAGTTTTAAGTAACAATGAATTCTATTTCAATGTGTTCTCTGATCTCTGACCGAAAATAAAGGTATGATATGATTCAAGTGTAGTTTGTGGTAAATATTAGAATCATTTTCAATAGTGTTTAATATTTAGATTGGTCTTACTCAACAGATAGATTGAAATAATCTGATCAAGTGAAATAAAGTAATTTGCAGATATTACAAGGATATCACTGTTGGCCATTTTAGATGTGAAATCTGAATATTCTAACAATTTATATTTGTTTATTTAATTTTTCACTATCATTCAAAAGTTTGAGGTCAGTAGGATTTTTATTTAAATGCACTTAATACTTGTATTTAGCAAGGATGCATTAAATAGATCAAAAGTGACAGTAAAGACATTATATATATTTTTTAAATATATTAAGAAATAAACAGAAATCTAAATCTATAAAGATGTCGATTTCAAATAAATGCAGTTTTTTTTTTACTTTCTATTCATCAGAGTTCTGAAAAAAAAAAAACTGTAAAGGTTTCCACAAAAATATTAAGCAGCTCAGCTATTTACAACATTGATTATAATAAGTAATAAATGTTTCTTAAGCAGCAAATCAGCATATTAGAATGAAAATTCAGATTTGCCATTACAGAAATATTTTTAAATAAAAAGTTGATAAACCAAAAAACAGATACCGTAAGACTGAAATTGTCTTCTGTACAAAGTTCAAGTGAAATCTGAACATTTAAGTGATTCACACTCAGAATATTCAGAATATTAATAAGTCCTGCAATCGTAATTATAGTTAGAGTATCAAAACTGCTTTCCTTCTGTTATAAGGGCAAATATATGCTTTTCCTCACAAAACATACAATTATGTGTCTATGTGATGCTCCTCTGAGGATCATCATTTCTTTCTATGATGGACATGTTTAGTGCCTCTGTTTACAAAGCATCAATGCACATTTAATCACTTTTGGTGTCCTGTTTTGCACACTGTAATTTGTTTAAAGGTTTACTCATTTTTAAACAATGTAGGATGACTCAGGATGATTCATTGGTTAATGAAAACAGACCTAGATATCAAGATGACCTTAATTTGTGCATGACTCAGATGTGACTTACTATGTCCCATAGAAGCCAGGGTCACAGAGACACTCTCCTGTGGAAAAATGGCAGTCTCCATTAAAACAATGGCTGCAGTCTTTTTCACAGTTTTCTCCATAGGTGCCATTAGGACAGCGCACCTCACAGCTGAATACAGAGAGAGAAAGAGGTAGAGGTTATACAAATGCTGGTCAATTTCAAATTTGATTTTAGTTTTCATCAAAACAATCTCCAAGAAAATACTTAAAGGGTTAGTTCACCCAAAAATGAAAATTATGTCATTAATTACTCACCCTCGTGTTGTTCCAAACTCGTAAGACCTTCGTTCATCTTCGGAACACAATTTTAGATATTTTTGATGAAATCTGAGGGCTCTCTGACCCTCCCATAGACAGCAAGGTAACTACCACGTTCAAGGTCCAGAAAAGTACCAAGACGATCGACAAAGTAATCCGTGTGACATCAGTGGTTCAACTGTAAAGTTACGAAGCTATGAGAATACTTTTTTTTGCGCAAAGAAAACAAAAATAATGACTTAATTCCACATTTTCGTCTCTACTGCGTCACTTTGGATGTGCGTTCACGACAGTATCATGACACGAGCGTGTGTATTTTAGTTTTCTTTGCGCAAAAAAGTATTCTCGTAGCTTCGTAACTTTACAGTTGAACCACTGATGTCACACGGACTACTTTGTCGATCATCTTGGTTCTTTTCTGGACCTTGAACGTGGTAGTTACCTTGCTGTCTATGGGAGGGTCAGAGAGCCCTCAATGGATTCTGTGTGGATGATGGGAATTTGATTGATTTTGCAGTCTCTGATCATAATGCAGTGTTTTTCCATATTCCACTCTTTTTCTCTGATCCCAAACCCTCTACACCGATTCGCTCCCACCTCTTAAACTCACTTTCAGTTTCTCGCTTTTCATCAAAAGATAAGTACATTGAAGACAACGCTTCCCCGCCAAAGACGAGTTTTTACGGCTTTTCGTGTTTTCACTGTTATACACTCGGGGGCGCTATTACACATCTGAACGAGTACAAAACCTCCCGAACAAAAACACACGTGAACAGGATGGAGAAACTGGCGATCTCTTATGTAAACAGATGCATATGAAAAATAATGCGATCATCAGCAATGGCAGCATATAAATGAAAACTGCATAATGTTACGGAGTAAAATGTTGATCCAGGAAGTGGTATATGTCTGTGCAAGCTTTGGAGGTGTTGATAGAAGCGATTTACTGGATTTATGCTTTGATAATGGTACTGAATATTATCCAGATGTAGTTTTTGGTAAAAAAAAATGTGATTTTCTCACCTTTTTGCTCAAAATTATGCATTTTTATGAAACCTACCTATATTTAAGTGTTGATAAAAAAAGAATGCTTTAAGCTAGAATAAAACTTTGTTTAAAAGTAGAGGCTCTGATCTTTATTTTGGTGTATTGCATATTCAAATATTCATACAGCAAAATATTCTGGAGGCCATCAAATTTTAGTGAAAATCATTAAAATCGCTGGCGGTGGCTGGCAACTTTTAAAAAAAAATGCTGGGGAAAGAGTTAAAGAGCAGCAACATGTGAAAACTTTCAGAGATGAATTCACTTAAACACTTGGTACACTTCCACTATTGGGTATGATATTTCATAGCAAAAACCTGTTTTAATCACTAATCACACGCAATTTAGTTTAATCAAGCTGGTTTATAGCACCATTATAATTCTCTTAATTGCAAATATTAGTATTGTAGACTGTGCTTTATTCATAAAAATCAACATTATTTGCCTGATGCTATTGCTGTTTTATTTATTGAATTCAGCTATTTATTAACATTTATATGTTCAAACGTTTGGGGTAAGATTTATTTTATGTAATTAATATTTTTATTCAGCAAGAGACAATAAATTGATCAAAAGTGAGAGTAAAGACATTTATAATGTTACAAAAGATTACTGTTTCAAATAAATGAGTAAAAAAAGAGTCCTGAACAAAAAAATATGTCACAGGTTCCACAACTGTTTTCATTGATTATAATAAAAGATTCTTAAGCAGCAACTCATCATATCAGAATGATTTCTGAAGGATCATGTGACACTGAAGACTGGAGTAATGATGCTGACAATTCAGCTTTATATCACAGGAATAAATTACATTTTAAAATATATTAAAATTGAAAATGATTATTTGAAATTATTATAATATTTTACAATTTTACAGTTCTTAATCAAATAAATGCAGCCTTGATGAGCACAAGAGACTTATTTCATGAACACTAAAACATCTTACCAACCACAAATGTTTTAGTTGGTAGTGTATTGATGTATAAATGGTTTTATGTACTTCAGTTTATGTTTCTATTATTATTTGATGTGCATAATTCCTTAAGTGGGTGCTTCACTAAAAACAATGCAGATAGTATATGTAAATAAACAGCGCTGTCAGTAGAAATAATTCTTATTTGTAGTCAATTCCCCCCTCACTTGTCAACTTTGTATTTTTGTTTTGCTCTTGTTTCATTAACAGCTATTTTTTTTTTATAACAGTTGGCTACAATGGCCAAAATTGTGTACCGATCTCCAATCCAGCCGGGATTGCAGTGGGAACACTTCCCGTTGATCCGGTTGCAGAAGTGACCGTCTTTGCACGGCGGACACTGATCCTTACAGTTCTCTCCGAAGTAACCCTCTGCACACATCTGATCACATTTTGTCCCGTTCCAGCCGCTCGCACACGTTTCACAGTGACCCTCCGTCACCTTACAGGGCTGCTGGCCTTTACAGTGGCCACACCTGGAGCAGCAGAAACAAGAAAAGACAGTCAAAACCAATATACCAAAAATGTTTATCTTACTCAGTACTTTTGTCTTGTCAAATATCTAAACAAAAATACTTTAGATATTAAGTCTTGTTTTCAAATCAAAATGATGTGAGTTTATGTTTAAAACAAAAATAAATTATTAATTATTATTAAAACAAGGACAAATATCTGCTAATAAGGTCAGAAACGATCAACTTAATTCAAAAGGAAAACAAGATTATTGTTCTTACTCTATTATTGTAATTTTTTTTTTTAACTCACTTAATTTTGATATTTTATTCAGAAAACAATATCTTATGTCATTTTGCTTTTCAAGTAATATCTTGATTTAAGAATTTTAAAATTTTGATTTAAGAATCTTTTGACATTTGTATTGCAAAACTAACAAATATATATATATATATATATTTTCAATGATGTTATGGCAATACAATTACAAAAATATTAAGCTCAGCTTTGCATCATAAAAATAAACACCAATATTCTGTACACATTTTTTTTTACTGTTTTTAAAAGTTATATTGTGAAATATGCTGATTTGATGCTTTTATTATTGGTGCTCAGTTGTAAATAATAGTTCTTAATATTATCAATATTGAGTTTTTGCTGCTTAACATTTTTGTGGTAACTCTAATATTATTTTTTTTCAGGATTCTTTGATGAATAGATGATAGAAAGTTCAAAACAAATGCATTTATTTGAAATATAAATCTTTTGTAATATTATAAATGTCTGTACAGTGACTTTTGATCAATTTAATGCACCCTTGCTAGAAAAAGAAATATTTTTTTTATTTTTTTAAATCTTACTTACCCCTTTTGTATATGGTAGTATACTTTTAGTATGGTAGTACATCACAGTTTCCCCAAAATATTAAGCAGCAAAACTTTTTTTCAGCATTGAGATTTAATAATACAGAATGTTTATTGAGGAGTAAATCAGCATATTAGGATCATTTCTGAAGGATCATGTGATACTTAAGACACTGGAGTAATGATGCTGAAAATTCAGCTTTGCATCATAAAAAATAAATTTCATTTTAAAATATTTCAAAATAGAAAATAGTCATTTGAAATTGAAATAATATTTCACAATATTTTATATTTTTTTTTACTGTAAAATATTTTTACTGTAATTTTTTTAACAGTATTTTTGGTTACTGTATTTTTATTTTACTGTATTTTTGGTGAAATAAATGCAGCCACAGTAAGCATAAGAGACTTATTGTACTCTACATCATTTTTTTCTCACTTGTTTTTGCAGTTCTGTCCATAGAATCCAGCTGGACACGGCTCCCGGCATAGTTTTCCTCTGTATCCGGGTTTACAGGTACACGATCCATCCACAGGGTTACACTTCCCATTGGCACACTGACAGTGGCGTTCACAGCGCTGACCCCAGAGCCTCTCCCTGCACTGACATCGGCCCGTAAACTGCTCACAAGGCGAGTTGTTACATACACACTGAGCGCCACAGTTCCGGCCGAACCAGCCGGGGTTGCAGATGCACCAGCCCGTGTTCTGGTCGCACACCGAGTTGATGCTGCAGTAGCAGTTGTTGTTGCACTGCGGCCCCCAGTACCCGGCATGGCAGGTGCATTTGCCCGTCTCCTGGTCACATTTCCCTTTCTGACAGTTGCAGGGCTTCTGGCAGTTCTCACCCCAGCGGTTTGGGTAGCACGTGCACTTCCCGGTCACGTCGTCGCATTTACCATTAGGGTGACACGTGCACATGCCCTTGCAGTCTGGACCCCAGAACTGAGCGGGACACTCTAGAGGAGTCAGAAAAAGCACAGTGTCAAAGGAAAAGAAACATATTTACTTTGCAACTGGGAAGCTGAAATAATTTTTTTCAGCTTTTTGTAAAAGTATATTAGACAATAGTTTATGTTGATTATAAAACTCAGATTGCTCAGTGAAAATTGTTCTTTCACCACTGCATAACATGTCTATTTTGTAAACAAAATGCTTATCATATGTGTGTTATATTGTATATGCACTACCATTCACTACCAGTCTGGGTTTTTTTTCTTTTTTTAAAGTCTCTTATGCTCACCGAGGTGCATTTATTTGCTCAAAATACAGTAAAAACAGTAACATTGCATACTATTATGCTTATCATATGTGTGTTATATTGTATATACACTACCATTCACCACCAGTCTGGGGATTTTAATTTTAATTTTTTTTAAGTCTCTTATGCTCACCAAGGTGCATTTATTTGCTCAAAATACAGTGAAAACTGTAATATTGCATACTATTATGCTTATTATATGTGTGTCATATTGTATATACACTACCATTCACTACCAGTCTGGGGATTTTTATTTTTATTTTTTTTAAGTCTCTTATGCTCACCAAGGTGCATTTATTTGCTCAAAATACAGTAAAAACAGTAATATTGTATACTGTTATTACAATTTAAAACTGTTTCTGTCTTGATATATTTTTAAAAATGTAATTTATTCCTATGATGCAAAGCTGAATACTCCAGTCTTCACATGATCCTTCAGAAATCATTCTAATATGCTGATTTGGCAGTCAAGAAACATTTCCTATTATTATTATTATTGACATTAAAAACTGCTGCTTATTATTTTAGTGGAAATTGAAATACATTTTTTCAGGATACTTTGATGAATAGAACGTTCAAAAGAACAGCATTTATTTGAAATGGAAAAAAAATGTCTTTACTGTCACTTTATATTAATTCAATGCATCTTTGCTGAATAAATTATTAATTTCATAAAAAAAAGTTACTTACCCCAAACTTTTGAATAGGAGTGAAGTTAAATAAATATTACTGATCAATATGACTTTTTCCTATTCAAGTGGCCTTGGTTTCATCGTTAGAATTGAAAAGTCATTTCAGAGGTGAAGGAACTTTATGAAAATTATGAACGATTATGATATTTTTTTCTTTAATAGAGTCAAATGGCTCAATTTTGAAGTCATGTTGTCTTTAAAGTCTGCTAAAATTGTTAAAAGTGCTGTTCATTTTTCAAACAATTTTCTTACAATTAACAAGTACAAGCCTTCACAAGAAGAATTTGGATTGGAACACTGAAAGATATGACTATATTTTTATAAATAGCCTTTAGTTTTGATCATAGCTTAGCAACTTTATGATTTGCTGATTTGGGACATTTTTTCAAGAGCAACTTATTGGGGAAAAAAAATGTATAAAGTATTTTAAGTCCAATTACTTGGAAAATAAATAATTTACATTTTGAGTGCACATCTTTGTAAATTGTAGCTATATGAGCATATAAATGACCTCAAAGCTTACTAACATCGAGTAAAAAGCAGAAAATATTTTTTAACAATTAAAATTAGCTTGACGAACTCACTTGTGTCACAACTTGCCCCAAAATATCCATGACGACAGCGGCATTCGTTTGGTCGGACACACACCTCGTTCTCATTACAAGTGAAGTTACCTTCACAGAGAGCTGAGGGGAGAAGGACATAATCAAGATATAAATCAAGTGACACTCAGGAAGTGATCTAACATACAGGAAATGACACTTACGCGTTAAACACTCCTCGCCTTGCTGCGCCCATCCGCTGCAGCATGTAAACCCTGGTGACCTGAAGATAAGATGACAAATCAAGGTCAAATGAAGTGCACTCTCTTATTGATTAAGGAATATTCAATCTATATTACATTAAGCTACTATCTGGAAGGACAGCATCTTGCATCAGCATATTTTGCCTTGACCAAAGTCTCAACCATCCATGAGAGATTTAAGCATGTGGCTCATGAGGAATATTGCAAATGTCTGGATGCCATCTGTAGCTTCACAAGCGCAGATGTTTCAGATAGCGAACATACACTGACTCGCATCCAGTCGCACAAACACAAGCGTAAGCATTCATTCCATTCTCCACCATCTCGCCCGACAGCAGTCATGCGAACCAGACGAGCCGTTTGAAGCAATAACTTTGTTGCATCGTCAAATGAGCGGCTGGATCCCAAATAAGGCCTGATTTGATTAGCAATGCAAATGTCCTTCATTAGGCCATCTAATAAACAGTCTGGACTCCATAGAAAGCTTAGAAAAAGCCTTTCCAAATATTAAATTGAGCTTGTTTAAACGCAGTATGTTCTTCTAAATCCAAAATATAAAATGTCTGTATCCGTTAAAAAAACACAAAGAACTCTCAATCTCATTCACAGTTCTTCATGCACCAATTCTGAATACATATTCAGTGACTAATGACTTAAATTTGGTTCACTTATCTTACGGCTTCAGAAGAATTGAAATATAGTGCATGAGTCATATGCATCTCCTTTGTGTTCCACAGAAGAAAGTAAGTCATACGGGATTGGAACGAGATGAGCGTGAGTAAATGATGACAGAATTGTAATTTTTTTTGCATGAATTACTCTTTTAATCCATCACATATGATCCCGACGGAATTTTGCATGTGTCTGCGGTGGGTGTTTTATTCAAAGCATCTCACAACAGGCCTGCTGCAGCAACTTACATGCATTTCGTTGACAGAAAATTATGGGAGGAAGAGCGAGGAATGGGTTTGGGACACAATAAGGACTGGAATTGAGCCCATTTCTCCCATATGAGCACCACAACACAATTATCTTAAGGTTTCAACATGCATGTTTGTAGATTAATATACTACTGTTCAAAGGTTTAGGCCAGTTTTTTGAAAGAAAATTAATACTTTATTCAGCAAGGAGACATGATCAAAAGTGACAGTAAAGACATTTACAATGTTACAGAAGATTTTATTTAAAAAAAAAAAAAAAATTCTAACTTTCTTTCTTTCTTTCTTTCTTTCTTTGAAAGAAATTAATGCTTTCATTTGGCAAGGATGCATTAAATCGATCAAAAAATGTCAGTAAATACATGTATAATGTTACAAAAATCTTTTTGAAATTATGCTGTTCTTTTGTTCATCAAAGAATACAGAAAAATGTGTACCAGTTTTTATCAACTGTTTTCAACACTGATAATAATAACAAGTATTATGTATTAGAATGATTTGTGAAGGATCATGTGACACTGAAGACTGGAATAATGATGCTAAAAATTCTGCTTTTACATCACATTAATACATTATATTTTAAAATATATTGAAATAGACAAGTGCTATTTTAAATTATAATAATATTTCACAATATTACTGTTTTTACTGTATTTTTGATCAAATAAATGCAGCCTTGGGGAGCGTAAGACACTTTTTACCAACCCCAAACTTTTGAACTGAGCGTATATCAAGCGATTCAATGGAAAATATGTGTAAGTGCAGTTTCATTTAAAGACTCTCTTACATTCCATGCATGAAAAACAAAGTGATCTTCCTTCTCTTCTTTAAACCTTTCAAATTATCCCCGCTATCTCTACTTCAAGTGGCTTCCCCTTAAAATGTAATACTCTCTAAGTGTTCCTTGGATATAAGACATATGCCGCCCCTCATATTCCTCCACATGTGACCCCAGAGAGGCCTTGTCCACACTTTGGCTTCCTCTGAAGCGTGGGGGCCGCTCTCTGCCTTCAGTCGGAGTTTGTTTAGCCTATGTGTGCGTGTCTTAGCCAGACATGATCTACACCACAGCCCTGACTTCTCTGCTCTGTGTCAAACCCAACATACACACCGCAGCCAGAACACGAAGCTAGGACCGTGGATGAAAGCTTAAACAAATTGAAATTGAGCATCAGTCAACAGCTGGGGGGGGCCAAACTTGATTCAGCAACAATAAAGTCCTGTGTGGAATTTCTGAGCAAGTTTGTAAAACGAATGTGAACTTCCTGTCAACGTCTGTGGTGGGTGAGAATCTCTGTTTGTGAGAATACAAACTAGATCATATCTGGTGGTTTCCATTCTGATCTTAAGTACAGCGATAGCCATCTGGAGCCAGTAATCACAAAGTAAACAAACTTTTAAACAACAGAGTAAACCATTCAGTGCTTAACACTGCTAGTAGAATTCCCCTAAAATGCCTAGTGAGAAGAAATACAACATAATTTTGAGATAAACACCTAAACATCTAAATCCAGCTGTTTTATATAACATATAGTGCTTTGAATTAAAATCATACATCTCACAATATCATTTTGTATGATTATTAAAACATGTTGGAGAAAGAGACAGACCAATATATATATATATATTAGAGATTATTTCCAGGTTCACCATGCTCAACTACTTTTGTTAAAGGGGTCATATGATGCGATTTCAAGTTTTTCTTTCTCTTTGGAGTGTTACAAGCTGATTGTGCATAGATATTGTTAATTGCTTGAGTATTTGGTGTCGCCCCCTATCCCTTAATGTGTGTCAGACCCAGATGTGAAACAGGATGACTGACACAAATGCATTTGTATTTGGAACAACATCACAAACAACGTGTGTACAGTTTTAAGAGTCACTAATGTTTAAAAGTCACTTATTTCTGTGCACTTTCATATATAGTGATTAATTAGTGTTATAACAAACATATAGTGAAATAACAAACAACCTGTCAACAAAAAATATGTCATTTTTAACTTTTACATTTTTAACTCTTAATTTAAATACCTCTTTATGTTCAAGACTGTTTTCTTGGAGCTCACAGAAATGGGCCTAGTGTTTAATTGCCATTAATTACTGCTGCATTCAATAAACCTTAATTTAATAACATTTGATTTTCAAACGCATAAGGCCTTTGTACTTGCTTGATATCATGCATCGGGTCTACCGTATGATCAGAAGACATTAATGCTTTATTTAATTTCTTCCGCCCCCCCCGCCAGAAGTTATTCATCCGACTTACCCTGGAACTTTGCACACGTTCCTACCCTTTGGATTGAGTTCTTGACTGAAAACAGGGCATAAGCATAGAAGCAAAAGCAATAAAACCGCTAAAGTGCCCTTTAGATCCATGGTAGAAGAAACAGCATCTCTCCATGCGCCTCTTCTGCTCAGCATTCCTTTTCTTTACAATCTCTAGAAGTTCAGATGGGTTATTCTGGATCTTCTAAGTCTCAAAACCGTCGACTTCAATCGTTTGGGAGTTATTTTATCCGCATAAATCGTTTACACACTCGCTTTCAGACTCCAAGGGCTGAGGCAGAGAAGAGAAAAGAGGAGGAGAGGGCGCACAGAAGTTATAAAACCAAACAGTTATTCCCTCCGTCCAGCCCCAGTTCCTGGGGAGAACCTCTGCTTTTATTATGCGCTCCAAACACTGGTGGACGAAACTGGTGCATTGTTGGAAACTTCTGACACCCTGGTATTCCCAATTTTCCGCTATTATTTCCAAAATGCAGATTTTCAGAGAGGATATGCTGCTTCAGAACGTGTCAAGAAAAAAAAAAAAAAGCTCTGCAAAACTTTAAGTACGTCCATTTTGGAAAAGAAACGGGAACTTTAAAACGGATCGTTGTTCTCTTTTCAGAAGGGAAATTCCGAATTAGTTATCCTATCTCTGGCTCTGGCTCTTGGGAATTCGGTGCTCTCTTTGGCGTGCAGCGGTTTCCCAAATTCAGACCGAAACCACCCGAGCAGCTCCTCATCGGGTGGGTGTGACTATAGTGTATATGCTTAGGACTTGGGACCATGGACCCATCCAGCCCCCCTTACTGCCCCGTCAAACGCGCTGCCAGTCTCGTCTCCTCATTAATGCGCACGCGCGCACAAGTACCGCGTGCCCATGTAATACACTTTAGTTGTTTAATGTAATATAATAACTACCTACCCTTAATTATAACCACTAAAAGAGAAATATTGAAATTTTAAAAGTAAATAAACGGATAGAAGTAAACAGATAAATATATTAGCCTAGTCTTTTTGTTAAAACGTCCCGGTCTATATATAAATACTAGTGGGTTATAGGCTTACTACATATGTGCATGTGGTAATATTGGATTTAAGTCACACAGAACAAATATTTTTACAGCTAAGATTTTTATTTAAAAGCCGTCAACATGCCAGATTGACCTTTTTTAAGTTGGTTTTTGACCTGTTTCATATTATTTATGTGGTCATTTTCACAAATAGCTAAACAAATGCATGCATTTTTGCATAGTTACTGTACATTAAGATTGATCCATCCCCTTTACAGATTCTTCCCCTCATTTATGATGATTTATGATTAATATGGTTTATTAATATCATTTTTGTAAATTATAATACAGGCTAACCCGGACCTAAACTTTTGCAGTCTGAATAAGTAAACAAAATGTTATTTTATTTCGTTTATGAATAACTTTTGGACATCTCCATAAATTTTGTCAGCTTAGCTAAGTAGTTTTTTTTCCCCCCAGTCTTGTAAAGTGAATTACTTTAACAATGCAACGGCTCCCCCCTCTGTTAACTTCATAAAACATGCACAACAAACGTTTACGTCACAAACACAGCAGCAAGAGCAAAACTAAACATTCTCAAACTAAACGACAAAGAGAGCAACAACAGGATATTTTAAATAAAATCCTCGGTGAATAGTTTTTTCCTGCAATATCGAAACCCACACGTTGCGTGTGTAACCTGAAAGTTAAACTAAACTAATTTGTACATGTATGTACCATCTCGGAATTATAAAACTGTAATGTTTACGTCACGGAACGTTTATGCAACAGCATCCCTTTTATGGCAGCACATGCGCGTATATGTTGGTAAACAGAAACGTCACTGGATTTGGGCCAATCCTTTAGCCCAGATTTGAATATGGGCGGGACCCCACAGGTAGCGTTAAATATAATGTACTTAAGGACAGGGTGCAGGAGATTGCTTTGTATCTGCTGTCTGTACAGAAGTCTTGAACTGATGTCTCTCCGCAAAACTCTCCCTGCCTTTGGGCGCGCGACTCTTGACAGGAGTTTGGTGATCTCCACACGCCGTCATCGGAGTGTGCAAGCGTTACATCCAACCAAAACAAACACAGAAGACGAGTCCGTGGACAGCAGAGAGCATGTATCGTACAGTAACAAGATCTCCATTGACTTTGAACAGACCAAAGAAGCCTACAAGAGCAAAGACACTCTTGAGTTGCTTAGAAGCTTGGTGGTTTTCAAACTGTGCTCCTATGACATCCTGGTTGATAAGAATAAAGAGGTATGTAATGTATTTAATGCTTATATAGTTATATTAACCAAAAAGGAGAGGCATCCTGTTCTAGTACTGTACTGTATATGAAAGACCATGTTCCTGTCTGGAATTACTCCTGTGGCATTGTCCCAGATGATTAGCAGGAATGGCATCTTGCCAGGGAGCAGTCATGTGGTTAGTGTGTAGTTACTAGAGCCAAGATTATACACTCTAAAAAAATGCTGGGTTAAATATAACCCAGCGCTGGGTTATATTTAACCCAGCATTTTTTAGAGTGTACTGGCAAGGACAGAATGTACCTCAGACTTATGTAAGTCTCTTTGACCTTTAGGCAACATTTACAACAGCGTTTCTTAATCTTGGTCCTCATGACCCCCAGCTCTGTATATTTTGCATGTCCTTGTTCAACACACTTGATTCAAATCACCAGCTCGTTAGAAGAGAGTTCCATGAATGAACTGTGTTCCGATTGACATGGTCTCTAGTCCCATATACAGTATACACAGTGGCCCCAAACTGCAAGGCACCTACAGTAAGCCACACTTAAATACGTATGCATGGCATTGCATTAAATAACAAGTAGTGTTTATGGGGAAACAGTTTAGTCATTTAAATATTACACTCTAAAAAATGCTGGGTTAAATACAACCCAGTGCTGGGTAAAATAGGGACAAACCCAGAAATTGGTTTGTTTTGACCCAGCGGTTGGGTTACTACCCACAAGTTTGGGTTAAACATTTAACCCAACCGCTGGGTCAAAACAGCCCAATTGCTGGGTTTGTCCCTATTGTACCCAGCACTGGGTTGTATTTAACCCAGCATTTTTTAGAGTGTAGTATGCATTGAGTGCATACCTAAAAGAATATAGGGCTCTCAGCTCAAGATGACTTCAGATGATACTGTAATATATGTGCATGCCTTGACAACACTCTCTCTGTCTCATACAGATAATGAACCTCAGCAGAAAGTTGTTGGGACAGAATATGTTTGAGCAGTTTATGAAGATGACATTCTACGGTCAGTTTGTGGCAGGAGAGGACCATCAGTCCATCAGGCCTGTAGTGCAGAAGAACCAAGCGTATGGAGTCGGGGCTGTGCTGGATTATAGTGTAGAAGAGGATCTCTCACAGGAAGAGGCTGAGAGGAAAGAGATGGAGTAAGTGCTCTCTTGTACACTCTAAAAAATGCTGGGTTAAATACAACCCAGTGCTGGGTAAAATAGGGACAAACCCAGCAATTGGGCTGTTTTGACCCAGCGGTTGGGTTACTACCCAGAAGGTTGGGTTAAACATTTAACCCAACCGCTGGGTCAAAACAGCCCAATTGCTGGGTTTGTCCCTATTTTACCCAGCACTGGGTTGTATTTAACACAGCATTTTTTAGACTGTAGTTCTGCTCCTTACATTCATAAACTACCATGTTTACCGCTGCTTCAATCGATCATAGGTACCAAGGTGACTGGTAAGATTTGTGTGCAATTTAACAAAATGCAAAGTCTGTCATCTACATAGGAGAATGTTGCTCAAGACATTCAGCTTAACATTATTTTATTTTATGATAGATAGATAGATAGATAGATAGATATAATCTATCTATCTGTCTATCTATCTATCTATCGATAGGTACATTTTACATTCAGCTGAACATTTAACTAGTCTGCAGGCATGTATTTGCAGAATACATTAGCCAGACCTGACCAATTAAGAGCAAAATAAATAAATCAGTGATATAGATCACACCAAGTATAAGAACAGAATATAAATGAGCGCAATTATTTTGCTCCATAGAGCTATAGTGCTTAATTTGCTTAATTTAAAGCAGCTAATTAAGAGCTTTTGCTCTCCTTAATATCAACCTGCTGTTTTGTGCAATTAGTTTAGTTGAATCCTTAAGCGTTTTGAAAACTTTCTCCCTTTTAGATCCTCCTAGCTTGGCAGAACGATTCCAAAATCTTTCGGCCTGAATTAGTCTTTTAAGACCTGCTTTGCGTCACACTAACTGCTTTTCGGTAGAGGGCCTAGAGGTTAATGGCCATGCTGTGATTTGTGCTCATGTGGAGAGCCTACAGAAATAGACTGAGATTTGATCTGCTGTCACAGATGTAAACAAAGAGTTGATATGCTATTGGCTGTTTCGGGGCTATTATACAGAATAGAGTGCTCAGCTTGGCTTTTCTGCATTATCAAGGGTGTGATAGAGGGAGAATGCTGGAGGATGTGGCATTTGAGTAGGCTGCCATCTAATATGCAGGAACCCAGGGCTGATCATTCCGTGAGTTCCGAGACACCGTACCTGCCATGTATCATTTTGTATGAAAAAGCTGTTATTGTTAAGTCTTGGTTTGGTGCAGACAGCCATTATTATAATAACAACCATCGGTCCTCTGTAATTGACTTGCATGTATTGATTTTATGAATTGTCTGCTATATAACATTCAGCTGTCTGCCCAAGACAATTCCACAATTCCTCTGTGCTTGAAACAAAACTAGTGCTGTCAAACGATTAATCGCGATTAATCGCATCCAAAATAAGAGTTTTTGTTTACATAATATATGAGTGTGTACTGTGTATATTTATTATGTATATATAAATACAAACACATGCATGTATATATTAAAGAAAAATGTTAATTCATAATATCTATTATTCATTGTTTTTTGTATTTGTATTATTGATGTTAATTCAATTCATTCATAATACGTCCTAATACAGTATGTATTAGGAGTGTGAATATATAACTGCAAACAGCGTTTGCGTTTTATTAAAAACAGCGTAAAGGTAATTACATCAGAGAATATATATTTTTTGACAATTAGAGCAGAAAGGTTCACATGCAAAACATTTTCTTTATGCATTTTTTCTTTGACTTTGAAGTAAAAAAAAAATTGTTATCGATGTATAGAGATAATCAAGATACAGGCCTAGAAAATCTATTTTCTTTTGAATTTATATTTGTCTTTAATGTTAATAATAAGAGATATTACATAAAAATTTCCCTAGCAAACAATGAAAAGGGGCTAAATATTTTTTTCTTTATGCATCCTTTTTTACCCTGTAACTTTCTGGTAAAATCTAATGTTTTTCATTGCAAATATATCTCTTTTCTTTTGCATTTATATTCAGTTGCTATATCTAGATACATAGACCCATCACTTCAGATTTTCTCTTGCAAACAATGGAGAGATTTGGGAGTAAGATTCTCATATGTTGCATGTATAACTCTGTTTTGTTTAGCTGCAGGCTGAGGTACTAACTGAGCACTTTAAATCTGGAAGGGCTCGAGTCCGTCCGCTAATGACCCCATCAACATCTCAACATTCCTTCCTGTTGGAACATTACAGACGTCGAAACATTGTCTCCATTGAGCCGCCCCATGCAGCGTATCCACAGCTCTGGGGGTGGATGGGGAAGAGCG